TCTGAATCCCAAAGCTCCCCGAGGAATCTCTGGATTCTCAATCCCAAACCTCCCCAAAAATCTCAGAGCTCTGAATCCCAAAGCTCCCCGAGGAACCTCGGGATTCCCAATCCCGAAGCTCCCCGAGGAACCTCGGGATTCTCAATCTCAAACCTCCCCAAAAATCTCAGAGCTCTGAATCCCAAAGCTCCCCGAGGAACCTCGGGATTCTCAATCCCAAACCTCCCCAAAAATCTCAGAGCTTTGAATCCCAAAGCTCCCTGAGGAACCTCGGGATTCCCAATCCCGAAGCTCCCCGAGGAACCTCAGGGTTCTGGGACTCACCCAGCCGGTGCCGAGGGAGCAGCGGGAGCGGAGCCGATGCTGGACTGGGGAGATTTGGGATCTTTTATAGGGTTTGGAAGCCCTGCCTTCTGGGAATGAGTCCTCCTGGCTGATGAGCTCATTCTTTCACAAGAACCTTGCCCGGCCGGGTTTTACACGTAGGCACTTTCCAGAGAGGATTCCGAGTTCGTTCCCCTGACTAATCCTGGTGAACTGTAGAATTTCTCCCTGGATAAAGGTCAGAGCCTCGGGATCATGGAGTTATTGGAGACCCCGTGGAGGTTTGGGGGCTTGGTGGGGTTTGGTGCCACCTCAACCCATCCAGGGTTCATTCCACAGCTAAAACCCACTTTGATGTCTGGGATTTATTGGGAATTCCCACCTCAACCCATCCAGGGGTCATTCCACAGCTAAAACCCGCTCTGATGTCTGGGATTTATTGGGAATTCCAACCTCAACCCATCCAGGGGTCATTCCACAGCTAAAACCCACTTTGATGTCTGAAATTCCTGGGATTTATTGGGAATTCCCACCTCAATCCATCCAGGGGTCATTCCACAGCTAAAACCCACTCTGATGTCTGAAATTCCTGGGATTTATTTGGAATTCCCACCTCAAGTTCTCCAGGGATCATTCCACAGCTAAAACCCGCTCTGATGTCTGAAATTCCTGGGATTTATTGGGAATTCCCACCTCAACCCATCCAGGGGTCATTCCACAGCTAAAACTCCCTCTGATGTCTGAAATTCCTGGGATTTATTGGGAGTTCCCACCTCAACCCATCCAGGGGTCATTCCACAGGTATACCTCTCCTGGGTTTTCCTGGGGAGAACTTCATGGATTTCCCTCAACTTTCATTTCAGTTTGGAATCACCAGGAGTGATTTCCTGGACATTCCAGGAATTTCCTCCTGAAAAGGGCAGTCAGGGGCTGCCCAGTGAGGTTTGGTGTTGCCACCCCGGAGATGTCCAAGGAATTCCTCAGACACCCTCAGGGCTCTGGAAAGGAGTTGATCCACCAAAAGATGGACTCGATGATCTTGGAGGGCTTTTCCAACCTCAATAATCCTGGAATTCTCTGGATAAATCTCATTTTCCACGGAGATGCAGCTCTCACCCATCCAAACGTGATGGAGCAGGGATCTGAGTTTCTCTCTAGGGATTTTTGACAATATCCGAGATTTTTCCCACTCAAATGGAATTTGGGGAACCGGCCCCATGGAATTACAGAAGGGAATTTAAAAAGGTGTTTCAGCCTCAATGTGAAATAAAGGGAACTCTGTGTGTGCAGTGCATTCCCTGAAGATTAGTCCAGGTGGAACAAAACCCAAACATTTATGGAGTGGGAAAACCCTCCAAAATCCAATCCCAATCCCCCAGATCTCTGGGATCCATCGGGACACGGCCCCTGGAGACACCGTGTCCCACCCAGACAGAATTTCATCACCTTTGGTCATCCCGGGCCTCTCCCGGGCTCATCGCCGTGGCTTTTCCGGAGCTTTTATCGGATCAAGATCCCGACGCGATCACTTCCAACAGGCTGAGCTGGTCCCACGTCACCTCCCGGAATTCCTGGGCAGCGCCTGGAAGCGGCTGCTCCCGGCATGGAGCAACTTCCTCTCTCAACAACCCTTTGGCAGCACAAAACCTGAATATTCCAGAACTTTCTCCCGTCCGTGCAATTCCCGTTTTCCCTGGGTGCTGCCTTGCTGTTCCCGCTGGGATAGGCTCGGCTTTAGTCTCCAGCTTTTGGGATACCCCAGCCCAAGCCCAGAGCCTGACTCAGGCCTCGCCGGAGCTCCGCCGGTGCCGATTCCAGGCTGGAATTAGGGCACTTCCCAGACCTGCCCGGCTGCTTTCGAGGCAGCCGGCGGCTGGCAGGGCTCGGAACCGAGATAAGCTCCTGGAATTGTGCCCTTCCCACGGGGAGATGCGGGGAAGGAGAGCAGAGTCCTCAAAACCTTGGGGTTCGGCACTGCCCCGCTCCTGGAGGTGTCCGAGGAGAGCTTGGATGGGGCTTGGAGAGACCTGGGACAGTGGGAATTGTCCCTGGCCGTGCCAGGGGCTTGGAATGGGATGATCCTAAAGGTCCTTTCCAACCTAAACCTTTCCATGGTCCTCTGATTTTCTCGGATCCTCTGATTTTATCGTTCCATGATTTTATGCTTCTGTTATTCTGCGATTCCATGATTCTCTGATCCTCTTATTCCATGATTTTCTGATTCTCTGACTCCATTTTCCATGATTTTGTGATTCTGTGATCCCCTAATTCCATCGTTTTGTGATTTTATGATCATGATTTTCTGTTTCTCTGATTCCATAATTCTCTGATTTGATTTTTCCATGATTTTCTGACTCCACAATGATCCACTGATACTCCATGATTCCCTGATTCTATTATTCCACTATTTCATCATTCCCTGATCCTGGTTTTTGTCCCACCGTGGCTGGAGCGGCCAAGTTTGAGAGCAGACAGGGAATTTCACCACCTCCAACCTTCTACCCAAATTTTTGTGCAATATTCCCGAGGGAATTCTCCTCTTCAGGTCAGTGCTGTCCATCCCTCAGAGCAGAGAGGGACAGGACACCTCCATCTGCTCGGGACATTTTTATTTAAGCAATAAACCAAGGATTTCTGGAATATTTTTGCGCCAAATTTAAACCCTGAACTTGCAACGCTCAGGGATTAAAGTCAAACACTTCCCATGGCTGGGAGTGGAGACCTAAACCTAAACTTAATCCTAAACCTAATCCTAAACCCTGTCTGGAGATCAGCAGATGTGGCCTGACCTTAAACTGGTTTGGATCCAGTCTGGAAATGCTCTGGAGGTCACCGGGCAGCAACCTCAGCACAAAAATTATGGATATTGCCCAAAGAGGCTCCAGAGTCAGCCCTTGGAAAGGGAGGGAACGTTTTTCCTGGAGGAAAGGTGGAATTGCTTTTCCCATCCCCAGGAATTGCACAAAAATTTATTTTTAGCCAAAACTTTGGGAAAACGACGGGAGAAGCGTGAGGGAATGGAGGGAACATGGAGCTCCTGGCCCGTCCCAAATGTGCCGCAAATTCCAGGGATCGTGACACC